GCCCGGCCCGCGGGTGGGTGCTTCTGGGGCTGCTGCCCACGGCATGGCCTCTGCATGGGTGCTTCCGGGGCTGCTGCTCACAGCCCGGCCCACGGGTAGGTGCTTCTGGGGCAGCTGCTCATGGCCCGGCCCGCGGGTGGGTGCTTCTGGGGCTGCTGCCCACGGCCTGGCCTCTGCGTGGGTGCTTCCGGGGCCGCTGCCCGTGACCTGGCCTCTGGGTGGGCTATTCTGGGGCCACTGCCTACGGCCTGGCCTCTGGGTGGGTGCTTCTGGAGCCACTGCCCATGGCCTGGCCTGTGGGTGGGTGCTTCCGGGGCCGCTGCCCGTGACCTGGCCTCTGGGTGGGTGCTACTGGAGCCACTGCCCACGGCCTGGCCCACAGGTGGGTGCTTCTGGGGCCACTGCCCACAGCCTGGCCTCTGGGTGGGTGCTTCTTAGGCTGCTGCCCACGGCCTGGCCCGCAGTACCGCTCTGTGGAGGGCTTGCAGGCCTTGCCTGGATGTCGTTCTGAAGGCTGTGCATCTTCCCATCCTGGTGTTTCTGTGTTGCCCAAGTTAAGGTCGGGGGGTGGTGTCCATCGCATAGGCAAGAAGCAGGCAGAAGGGTCAGTGGGGACAGCACTGCACGTAGCCGGCCTTGGGCTGGCGTCGGCGTGGCTGCCCTGGTGCTCGAGTACCTGAGTGGCTGACTCCCAGTGGGAAGCTGGGACTGAAGGGGAGGGTGTCCTGTCAATGGAAGGCAGGGGGCATTTAACCAGCCGCACCGAGCGGCCGCTCCTGCAAATGCACAGCAGCCCTCCACTTGCTCGGTCTCTTCCCATCACATCCTGAATGGCAGCGTCACTTAAGGACTTTGACAGGGTGAGTGCAGCCATGGAAGTGCTGACAGGTCTGTAATTACTGCTGTGTTTATCGTGAACCTGGAGCACTTGACGGCTGCTGTTCGTCTGAGAACATACCCCGTCGCAGGCATCCGAGGCAGGTGGAGAGCTGTTTTGCTTTAAATATCTCATCTCTGATTCTCTTTAGGAGCCCCCAGGTGGTGCGGCTAATTGAAAGGTTGGAGGTTCAAGCTAACCAAAGGCACCTTGGAAGAAAGGCCTGGTGATCTGTTTCTCAAAACTCTGTGGAATATAGTTCTACTCTGACATACATGGGGTTGCCGTGAGCTAGAATTGACTTGACAGCAACTTTTTTTTTTTTAATTCTTTTTAAAAACTGCTTTATTAAACATTTTGAAAATTCTCTGAAATGTAGAAAACTGACCAAGTTGATCAGAATCAGCCTTCCGCTCACCCTGATGGGCAGAGTCCCATCTGCCAGTTCTGGCTTGTGGCTGCTGAGGACCTCCACAAGGGGATGTGCCAGGACCTAGGGTCACACATTGGCAGCACCGAGGGGCCTGCAGGTCTTCCCCCAGGAGCTGAGCTGTCAGCAGGGTAGGGTGGGGACTGAGAAGATGCTGGAAAGCAGCCTGCTCTTGGAGCTGAGAGTGGCACCCACATGCCGAGGGCCCTCTGGTAAACGCCTGATTTCAGGGTGTCAGGTGTGACCCCCTTGTGTGTTTCAGACTCACTGAATTTGAAGACACCCCCACCAGTCAGCTGACTATTGATGAATTCATGAGGATTGACTTGGAGGAGGAGTGCGACCCCCCCTCGTACACGGCAGGACAGAGGAAGCTGCGGATGAAGCAGGTAGGTGCTGGGCACAGCTGGGCATCATAGTGGCACCATTCCCGCTGCACTCATGGCCTCAGGGTCCCCACCTGCTGCCGCTCTGAGCGGTGACTCGTGGCCATGGCGGAGCGGACTGCCTGCATACCCAGCCGGGACCCCTGTGGGGTCAGACTTCTGGGAAGGATGGAAGTCACAGGTGGTGGCGGGCACCCCGAGTACAGGGTTTGCAGCCTGGGGCATGGCGGTGGTCTGTGTCACCGAGGAGACTGTGGTGGCCGCACACTTGCTGTTGTGAGGGTGTCTAGACGGCTCCTCTCTGGAGCACTCACCAGTGTGTTTGGGGCAGCGACACAGAAAGGGGCCAGCCTCAAGGCTGAGTTTGAGAAGTCCGAGTAAAGGCCCTGGAAGAAAGCTCGTTGGGGATTTCCAGCCCCAACTGGCCTGAGTGCCCTTTAGGAAGTGGCTGTTCTGGGTCGCCATGGTTCAGGGCTGAGCCCCTGCTGCAGGCACAGGGCTGACCTGTGGGGATGGGCTTCGTCCAGCATGGGGACTCAGCAGTGCTGGGCAGGGTGCACACGGTGGTCAGTGGAGGGGGCTGGGCCGCGGTGGGCTGCCTGGGGAACGCAGGTGCCTGTGGGAAGTTGTCCTCTCAGGCAGGTGGCTCCTCAGCTGTCCATTCTCCACAGCCAGCCCAGGCGGCCCCACCGTCTGGGTCTCTGGTTGGGCCGCTCCCATTGACTGAGTGACAGTGATGAGCAGTGAGCCCTGGTGCCCAGCCTGGGACGGAGCCCCCAGCCAGGCACCACCATCGGAGCCCCTTCTGGGATGGCTGGGAAGGCCCTTCTGTTCTGTTGGGAGGAGAGCAGGCAGGGCAGTCAGCCACCGACATCCTCACATGGGGCTGCCTGTGCCCAAGGCCGTCTCATCCTGGGGGTGTCCTGTGGGCAGGAGGGCCCCCGGGTCTCCCTGTCTCCATGGGGCCTGGGCCTCTGCTGGGTACTCACAAGCTCCTCCCTCTCTCCGACCATCATGCCTCCTGTCCCGCGTGGCCTGGCCCCTCGTCTGAGCCTTGATGCCTCACACATGCGCCCTTGTGTGTCCACCGCATGGCGGGGCTGGCGCTGGGGCGGGGCGGGTGTGCCCTGAGTCCCCGGATATAGGAGATGCCTGTGCATGAGTTTGCCTCCCGCCCTGACGACCGAGCCCGCCTCCGCCCTGAGCTTGCCTCCGGCCCTGACACCGTCTCCTCTCTTTCAGCTGGAGCAGGTCCTGTCAAAGCAGCTGGAGGAAGTTGAAGGTAGCTAATGGGCCCTACCATCAGATACTCGAGTTCCTCTAGAAAATTGGTTTTTTTTGCTTATTTTTAATTCATCACTTAGGTGAGATCTGCAGCTATCAGGACGCAATCGAGATTGAGCTAGAAAGCAGCCGGCCGAAGGCGAAGGGGGCCCTCGCCACCCTGGCCAAAGATGGTGAGCTCAGCCTGCCCTGCAGGCCGTGAGGGTCAGTGCCCCCGTGCTGCCTCACCACCCCTTCACCCCCCGTGCCGCCACACAGTCCTTATCACGCAGTCCTGTCCGGGCCTGTGGCTCTCTGGCCCTGGCACACTGTGCTTCCTGGACAGTCCACGCCACCTGCTGTCCCAGTTCCAGCTCCTCCTGCTCCATCCCCGTCCTGACTGACACCCAACCTCTGTCCAGCCCCAGACACCAGCTCAGTGTCCAGACCATCGTCGAGGGCCAGGCGGGAACGTCCGCCTCATCCAGGGGTGAGGCGCCTCAGGACTCTCCTGATCTCCTTGTTTCCGTGGTTCTTTTCCTCCTCCTCATCTCTTAGTCTGTGGACTTTTGTTTTCTGTGCATTTTCAGCCTGGTTATTGATTCTCCCCTTAAACTCGGCTTTGCATTGACTAATGGCCTCTGCTGCTCTCCACTGCTGTGGTCAGAAGTTCCTGCCTCCCGAACCTTCCTCTCTCTCAGCGGACATCGCCGTTCCCTGACGTTTCGGTCTTCCGCGTGGCTCGCCTTGTCTGACGTGTTTGTGGCTGTGTGCACTCAGGGCGAGGCCTTTTCCTCCGAGGGCCGTTTCAGCCGCAGTCCACATCCTGCTGGGAGGTGGAAGCCCTCAGGTCTCCACTCTCAGGGTGTTTTCTCTTTGGCCTGAGCGCTGTGTGCAGGAGTGGTGTCGTTCAAGGTGGGGAGGACTTTTGTTTCTTGATTTTGTTGTTAGTGTCTGTTTTTATTGGGTGACAACCAGAGAACGTAGCTTTATGGAGCCGTTGGTTTTTGCGGCGTGTGTGCGGTCAGTTTCCAGCGTGGTCTGTGAGCAGCTGAGAGGGAGGCTGCCTTTGTTTCTGGGGCCCAGGAGAGGAGCTCGTCTGCGACTGCCTGGCTCCTATCCAGGCTTCTCACCGGGCTGTTCCGGAATTCTGAACCCTTACTTACGTCTTGCCCAGTTGGTCTTTTGAGGATGGAGTGAGGTGACCGATGTCCACTGCCGCTTCTGGGGCTCCCGCAGTCTTTCTGACCTGCTGGCGTGGGTTTGGCTCGCAGGTCCACACAGCGTGGAGCGGTCAGGGCCGTTGGCGCTCTGCTCTGCGTCTGCTGGCCGCCTGCCTCACCTCAGTCCACAGTCACCCCTTCACACAGCAGAGAACTGGGTCAGCATTTCGGCCCAATCTGAGCAGCTGGCTTTCCGGATTTGAACTAGGCTGGTTGACACGCAGGTCTTGAACCTGGCTCGTTGGTGCTGGCGCCCGTGGCTCTCTTTGTGTGCTTGCTCTCATCCTGGCTCTCAGACTGTGTCTGCAGCACCCGCTGTGATGGTGGCACACGGCTCCTCGCCCCCACGCCCCGACCAGCCACCGTGACAGTGCTGCCGCCCGTGGTGTTTGCCTTGGGCGTTCGGGATGCCCCATCCATGGCTTCCCCAGTGAGGCCCACCGCGATGGACCCCAACTTCCATGCCCCCCAGCTTTGGCGATTTTGGTCATTCCCTCGTGTTGTCCTGCCCTGACGCCCGCATCTGCCTGGGCCGCCGGTGAGGCCCTTCCTCGGACGATTTCCTAGTGTGTGGTACCCCAAGTGCTCACCAGCCTGGGGCTGTCGTCTGCAGCTCTCGGGTCGCAGGAGGCCTGATCAGTGCGGGCCCTCACTTTCCCTCTTAGGGATGTCACTCAATGGTGGCTTAGCAGGGGACGTTGTCAGGAGAGCGAGGCCAGCCTGATGGAGGAAATGGGGTTGGGTGCTGATGAAGTTGGGGGGTAGAGGAGGAAATAACCGGTATCAGCAATAACACCTACCTTCAGAAGGAGTGGACAGCGTGTGTCCTGCAAGCTGGCTCGGTCCTGGCCTCTGGAGCCTGGCAGTGGACAGAGCAGAGACCCCTGCCTGGCCTCGCATTGCTGCCGTGCAGAGGGGAAGTGGAGGGTCAGCACAGGGACCAAGGAGGCTCCAGTATGGAGCCTGGCAGTGGAGCCTGAGTGGGGAGGGCACACTGAGACGCTGGTGGTCCAGGAGATGTCTGTCAAGATGGTCGGCACGCATATCACACTCATCCATGAACTTCAAAACTAACACACGCAGGAAAGCCGTTCAGAACGCCGAGTAAGGTGTTTCCAGATGTCTTTCTTAATTACGCGTGTCGTTCAGTGGTTCTCTGACGCCTTTATTGAGATGTAGTTGACATACAGTAAATGACGTGTGTTTGAACACGTGATGTGCTGAGTGCTGACCTGCGTGCACGCTGTGTGTCTCCACCACGCTCAAGACGGTGGGCGCGCCTCCTAGTGCTGCTGTAACAGAAACACCACACGGGACTGGCTTAGAGAACACAAATTTATCTTCTCACAGTTAAGACCAAAAACCCAAACCCACTGTCATCGAGTCGATTCTGACTCACAGTGACCCTGAAGGACAGAGTAGAACTGAACTGCCCCGTAGGGTTTTCAGCGCCGTAAATCTTTACTGAAGCACACCACCACGTCTTTCTCCCACAGAGCGGCTGGTGGGTTTGAACCACTGACCTTTTGGTTAGCTGAGTGCTTTAACCACTGTTCCACCAGGGCTCCAGTATCTCACAGTTACGAGGCTTGAAGTCCAAATTCAGGGCACCTGCTCTAGGGGAAGGCTCTCTGTCCGCTCTGGGGAAAGGTCCTGGTCTCCGCTTCTCTAGGGCTCTTGTTATTCCTTAGAGATCTCCATGTGGTGTCACTCTTCCCCAGTTTGTCATGGCTTGCTTCTGTGCCTACTCTGCTCTTTATATCTCTGGAGTGTGATCAGTTTAAGACACATCCTACGCTGATTACAGCCTCCTTAACATAACAAAGAAACCCCATTCCCAAACGATCCCATCCACAGGTATACCCAAGCTACAATTGCAACTCATAGTCGGACCCTGTAGGACAGAGTAGAACTGCTCCATAGGGTTTCCAAGGCTGTAAATCTTTATGGAAGCACACCACCACATCTTTCTCCTGCAGTGCGGCTGGTGGGCTTGAACTACTGACCTTTCGGTTAACAGCTGAGCGCTTAACCACTGTGCCACCAGGGTTAGGATTTGCAGCACATATTTTTGGGGGACACGATTCAATCCACTACAGTAGAATGTATGTGTCACCTCAAGACCTCGTGTTATTGCTGTTGTTAGGTGCCGTCGAGTCGGTTTCAACTCATAGCGACCCTGTGTACAACAGAACTGAACACTCCCTGGTCCTGCGCCGTCCTCACGGTTGTTGTTCTTGAGCCCGTTGTTGCAGCCAGTGTGTCGGTCCATCTCACGGAGGGTCTTCCTCTTTTTCGCTAACCGTCTACTTTACCAAGCATGATATACTCCTCCAGGGACTGATCCCTCCTGATAACATGTCCGAAGGACGTGAGACGAAGTCTTTACCATCCTTGCTTCAAAGGAGCATTCTTGCTGTACTTCTCCCGAGACAGATTTGTTTGTTCTTTGGCAGCCACGGTATATTCAATATTCTTTGCCAACACCACAATTCAAAGCCGTCAGTTCTTCTTCGGTCTTCCTTATTCATTGTCTAGCTTTCACATGCATATTAGGTGATTGAAAACACCATGGCTTGGGTCAGGCAGACCTTAGTCCTCAAGTTGACATCTTTGCTTTTCGACACTTTAAAGAGGTCTTTCGCAGCAGATTTCTCAATGCAATCCATCATTTGATTTCTTGACTGCAGCTTCCATGGGTGTTGATTGTGGACCCAAGTAAAATGAAATCCTTGACAACTTCAGTCTTTCCATGATTTTGCTTATTGGTCTAGTTGTGAGGATTTTTTTTTTCTTTATGTTGAGGTGCAATCTCCGCTGAAGGCTGTGATCTTTGATCTTCATCAGTGAGTCCTTCAAGTCCTCTTCACTTTCAGCAAGCAAGATTGTGTCATCTGCATAACGTAGGTTGTTAATGAGTCTTCCTCCAATCCTGACGCCTTGTTCTTCTTCATATAGTCCAGCTTCTCAGATTATTTGCTCAACATACAGATTGAATAAGTCTGATGAAAGGATATACAACCCTGACACAAACCTTTCCTGACTTTAAACCACGCAGTATCCCCGTCTTCTGGTAGGTATAGTTTTAACTGTTTAAGAAACTCTGGCACTGTTTTCCACAGTGGTGGCACCATTTTTTGCATTCCCACTAGGACTGTATGAGAGTTCCAGTTCTCTACATCTTCAACAACACTCGGTGTGGTCAGTCTCTTCAGTGCTAGCCTTTCTAGCGGGTATGCATTTTCTTAATGACTAACGATGTTGAACATCTCTTCACATACTTATTTGCCACCCATGTATCTTCTTTGGTGAAGTGTCCAAGTATTTTGCCCATTTTTTATTGGATTGTGTGTTCATGTACGTTTGGATATAAGTCCTTTGTCAGATGTGTCATTTGCAGATATTCTCTCCCAGTCAGTGGGTTGTCTTTTCATTCTCTTACCAGTGTTTTTCAAAGATTAGAAGTTCTTAATTTTGACAAGATCCAATTGATCAGTGTTTTCTTTTATAGATTGTGGTTTTAGTGTTGTAGCTGAGAAATTTTTGCCTAATTGAAGGTTACAAAGATTTTCTCCTGTGCTTTCTTCTAAAACTTGTAGTTTGAGCTCTCACATTTGGGTCAGTGACAGGGAGTTTGTGTTTGCATGAGATGTGTGGGGTGCAGGTCTGACAGGGAGTATGTGTTTGTACGAGGTGTGTAGGGTGCGGGTCTGACACGGAGTATGTGTTTGTGTGAGGTATGTGGGGTGCAGGTCTGATGGGAAGCATGTGTTTGTGTGACGTGTGTGGGGTGCAGGTCTGACAGGAAGCTTGTGTTTATATGTGAGGTGTGTGGGGTGCAGGTCTGACAGGAAGCTTGTGTTTATGTGAGGTATGTGGGGTGCAGGTCTGACAGGAAGTATGTGTTTGTGTGAGGTGTGTGGGGTGCAAGTCTGACAGGAAGCATGTGTTTGCGTGAGGTGTGTGGGGTGCAGGTCTGACACAAGAGTATGTGTTTACATGAGGTGTGTGGGGTGCAGGTCTGACAGGAGGCATGTGTTCACGTGAAGTGTGTGGGGTGCAGGTCTGACAGGAAGTATGAGTTTGCATGAAGTGTGTTAGGTACAGGTCTGACGGGGCATGTGTTTGAGGTGTGTGGGGTGCAGGTCTGACAGGGGGCATGTGTTTGTGTGAGGTGTGTGGGGTGCAGGTCTGACAGGAAGTATGAGTTTGCATGAAGCGTGTGGGGTGCAGGTCTGACAGTATGTGTTCGCGTGAGGTGGGGGTGCAGGTCTGACAGGAAGCATGTGTTTGTGTGAGGTGTGTGGGGTGCAGGTCAAGGGTCATTCTTTCACATGTGGGCATCAGGTGTCCAGCACTCTTTGTCAGAAAGACCTCCCTCTGCACTGAGTGAGGACAGCCTTGTGGCCTCGTGCCCCCAGTTGTTTAAGTATGTGGAGGAACTGCCTCTTGTAAGTTGGAAGAGGGGTTTCTCTCTGTACTGCAGGCTCCTCCTTGGGTGTGGCTCTCTGTCTGGTTATGGGTGTGTGAAATGTGCCCCCAGGCTCCATCGAGGACACTGTGTCCAGCTTATTTGGCGAGGAGGATGTGGAGGACGAGGAGCTGGAGGCTGCTGCCAGCCACCTCAACAAGGACTTTTACCGGGAGCTCCTTGGCGATGGCCTGCCCGGCAGTTCAGAATCGGCGGGGAGCACCGAGGAGGGGAGCCGGCCCCCCGCCCTGGAGTCTCTGCTCGGGCCCCTGCCCACAGCGGCCAGTCTGGGCATTTCTGAGTCCATCCGCGAGTGCATCTCCTCCCCAAGCCGGGACCTCAGTGAGTGCTGGGGTGCTTGGGGCCAGGGGAAAAGAAAGGAGGGCTGCTTCAGGTGGGGGTGGGGGTGCTGCTTTGGGTGGGGGCAGGAGGGGGCCCTTCAGGTGGGGAGCATTGTTGGTGGAAAGGGCTGAGGCTGGTGGGAGGTCTCAGGGTGTCTGAGCCGAGAGGCTGCCTGGTGGGCGGTGGAGGGTGTGGGGCCCCCCTCCTGGTCGTCTCTCCACAGCCAGGTGTTTTTGAGTCGTGACGTTTTAGGAGGGTGGGCTTGGGGGAGGGGACACTGCTGGTCCCCACCCCAGGGTGGGAGTGGCTGCCTGGCTGGAGCCGTGTGAAGGGCTGTTTCACAGACCCCAACCACAGAACCAAGTGACAGGAGGTGTCGTGTGGGGTCTGGGCTGATAGGACTCGATGGTGGACCCGGGGAGGCGAGGGGCTGTGGCATGGAGAGTGCCTGGAGACCAGGAGGTGGGAGGGTGTGGCCGACAAGCACAGGGAAGCCTGTGTATGGCCACAGGAGACCTGGGGTGGCGGCCGGGCGCCCCTGGGAGAATGGCAGCTCTGCACACGGAATTACCCTCGTTCCACCCTGGCCTGTGGGCACTGCCACAGGGACCCTCGGCCTCGCCAGCTGCTGTGCCCTTCAGCCCCCGTTTTGTCGGGGTTCCTGGGGCCTCCGTGGCCCCTTGGTGGCTCTGGTCAGTGCCCCGCTCCCCGCCCTCTGGCTGTGATGTGAGGGGCTCCTGCGTGTAGTTCTCAGGGACATGGCTCGGCACGTGGCGCTCAGAGGGATCCTCCGGGTGAGAAGGGAGCAGAGTCGTGGCCGTGGCCATGGCCGGCGAGGAGGAGCTGGCTGCTAGGACCCCTTTGGCCGGGGGTATCTGTGAACTTTGACCAGCCTTCACCCCCGTGAGCTGACGGTTATCCTTCCCTCTAGAAGACACCTTGGAGGATGGTGAACTGGACCTAAGTGGCATTGACGACCTCGAAATTGACAAAGTAAGCTGTTGTCACGCTGTGTGTGCAGTCTGGGGTCGGCTGGGCACGGGGGTGATGCTGGCCCATCTGCCCTCCTGAGCCCAGGGCCAACGTTTGCTGGTGCCTTTCGGGGGCTTCCTGTTTCCCCAGACACTGGCCACCCCTGCATGGGGCTCTCTCGTCACCACCCACCTTGTGGCTGCTCCAGGCTCCTGAGCTCCCTCATCCCAGTTTCAAGTCCAGGCGGCCTTGGGCAGCTCAGACCCCCAGGACCTCTGGGGCCACGCCCCTTCCAGGCGCCTGCTGTCTGCGGGGCGTCCTTTGCCATCCTCCAGGCGCGTGATCGCTTAGTCCTTCTGTCCAGGACAGTGTCCAGCCACCGCAGGGGCGCTGTGCCTCCAAGGCCCAGGCACTCGAGTGGCCGGGGCCAGCACTGTGCCTCCAGTTCTCATCCTTCGTGAGGGAAAAGTCTCCCCGACTCTGTTTAAAGAAGCGTGACCACACAGGACCACAGCCACCTGCTTGTTCCTAAGTGTACTGTGGTCTCGTCACTGCTCCTGTCCCTCACTTGCCTGGTGGGGCCTTGTGCCTCGATGTGCAGCGTGGTCGTGGTGCCGGCTGGGCCAGGAGGACAGAGGCTGGGCCTGTTCCCATGCCTTGGGGCCCAGGGCCTGCCGCCCTCCCCCTGTGCCACGTACACGTGGGAGCAGGAGCAACACTCAGTGTAGGAGAATCCCCAGAAGGCCTGCGTGGGCCGCGGGGCTGACCTTCGTCCCTGTGCCTGCTGCAGTACATCCTGGACGAGGCGGAGGCCCGCGTGAAGGCCGAGCTGTGGATGCGCGAGAATGCCGAGTACCTACGCGAGCAGCGGGGTAAGCCAGCGGGCGGGCCCCCTACAGTCGGCTGGGGAGGACCCCCCTGACCCGCAGCTCTCCGTCTTTCAGAGAAAGAAGCCAGAATCGCCAAGGAGAAGGAGCTCGGCATCTACAAGGAGCACAGGGTAGAGCCGCTGCGTCGCCTGGACATCTATGTCTGTAGGGGGAGGGAGTCCCCTGGGGTGCAGCGAGGGCGTCTCTGCTGGCCAAGGGCTGTGTCTGGGTGTCTGCAGTCCCAGGAAGGCATAATGTCCGCCAGCCAGGGGGTGGGCAAAAGCCTCCAGCTGAGGGGTGGGCAAGGTCCCCCATCTGGCCAGGCGGGCGAGCAAAGGCCACAGGGGTCAGCAGGACATGCTGGTGAGGCAGGAGACCTGGGTGTGGGGGGAGCCCCATGGGTCCTCTGCTGAGTGGTGAGTCTGGAAGCTTCTCAAGCCTTCCTGTTCTGTCTGATGGCACCAAGGGAGCCCCCTCTCCCCCGTCTGTGCCCAGCCTGCCCCTAGCAGCGGGGCCTCCAGCCCCTGCGGTCCTCCCTTTTGTGCCTGGTGCAGCCAAAGAAGTCGTGCAAGAAGCGGGAGCCAATCCAGGCCAGCACGGCCGGGGAGGCCATCGAGAAGATGCTGGAGCAGAAGAAGATCTCCAGCAAGATCAACTACCACGTGCTGCGGGACCTCAACAGCACGGGCGGGGGCGGCCCACTCGGGGAGGACGAGGGGCCGCCGGGGGAGGGTGCAGGCCCGCAGGGGCCAGCTGGCGCCAGGAAGCTGTCGCGGAGGAGGACGCTGGCCGGCCGGAGTGCAACCGACTCCACCGCTAGCGGGGGAAAGAGGTACTGTGGTGGTGATTTCGGGGCCTGGGGGCAGGAGGGCAGGCTTTGGACAGCCCCCTGTAGGCCAGGCCCATAGCCGCATGTGTGTGGGGGGTATTGCCCCAGTGCATCGGGGAAGGTGTAGTGTTGCCCGTGTGAGACGTGGCACCTGACCCCGGGGCCTGGCCGGCCTGTGGGTGTGGGCCCGAGCAGAGGGGCTCCCAGGGCCCCATGTCCTTGCAGGGCCTCAAGGGGCCGACAGGTGGGGGCTGCATCTATGAGAACGGGGTCAGGCGCTCAGGGTGGGCTCCCCAGGCCTGCAGGCCACCCTCTGTGTGGTGGGGCAGTGGGGGGTGTGCCGGGGGCGAAGCTTGTCTCCAGGGCTCCTCTCAGGAGAGCGGTGGACGCGGTCAGAGGGTCGTGTGTCTTTGGTGCCAGGAAGCCGGTGGCCTGCCATGTCTCAGAACAGCCCCGAGGTGGGGGCGGTACTGTGCAGGGAAGTGCTGCAGCGGCTGCCAGTTCCCCCTCATGGGGCTGCACCCCCACCCCTGCCCTCAGACCATCACCATGTTCCCAGAGCAGCTCTTCAGAGAAGGGAGAGATGTTTTCAGTTGCTTGCTTTCCTCTGAAGTAGCTGTAAACATCTTTTCACCTGTTTGAAACCCTTTTGGAGCACTTTCTCTGTGACTTGGCTGTCCCCGTCCTTGCGTGTTTTTGCTAGGCTGGTCATCTGTGTATTTGTCAGGGCAGCAGGGCAAGCGGGGAGGTGGCCGGAGGGGCAGGCAGGGCCTTGACCCTATTCCGAATGCCCCTTGTTCTGGGACCGCCACGGGGTCTGCCCCACCTTCACCTGCCCTGGCCCTGGACTCAGAGGGTGGTTTGGCAGTGAGGGGCCTTACCCAACACCGTTCTTGAGACCTGGCGTTTCTCCCCTTTGGGTCCTGGTTTGGCCTGATATCACCTTCTGTGCGGGAAGGGTTTCCTGACTTCCATCGCGTGGAGCTAGGCCAGGCTGAGTCTGCTCAAGGGCCTGCCTGAGACCTGGACGCAGCTGTCTTGGCCAGGGAGGGGACACCTCATGTTAAGAGCTGCCCACCCCAAAGATGCGGCGAGCACCCCAGCTTCAGGGTGTCTGTCTGCCTGTGGCCCTCAGAGGTGTATGTGTGTGTGTGTGCGTGCACATCTGTGTGCACTGCCTCCTGCCTCAGAAATGGGTTCACTTCCTGAGTAGCCAGAAGTTGTGAATGTTTAATACTCGGGAAGAGGGTACAGGGGCTTAGGGCCTGGCGGGAAGGTTCTTTAAAACGAAGGGAGGGTGGTCCCCCCCAGCCAAGTCTCGGTGGGTCGTGTCTCCCTGCCCTGCTATCCTTCCAGATCATCGCAGAGCCTCGGAGTCTCCTGGAGCCCACCCCTGCCCCCTCCTGTCCTCCACATGGTACCTGACCCGAGTCATTACAAGATTCCCGGCGTACAGGCTGGGGACCACCCACCCCCCAGAGGGCAAACAGCCTCCCTGGCTCTTGAGGCTGGGGGCCAGTGCCCCCACCTCAGTGGGGTCCTGCGTGGTCATATGTTTCTGGTTAGAATCTGCGCTGGGAACCTAGCCGAGTCAGTGTGCCTGGTCAGACAGGGCATGCTGTAGACTGCTGGGCCTCTGGGGATGGGGAGGGACTGGGGAAACTTGACAGACTCCTGACATGTGGCCTGTACCCCTGTCCCAGGTGGCGGTGCCCCACAGCCCCAGTGTGGGAACTACGGCGGGACCCTGGCTGCTGTGCTCTGAGGGTCCCCATGGGCTCCAGCATGACTGTTTCCAAATGGGGCCTGCTTCCCAGGGTGCCCCAGGGACAGGCCTCTCAAGCTAGCGGGAGGAGACGTGTCCTCCTTGGGGCGGACTGGGGGGTCTTGACCCCCCAGCCCTGGATGAGCAGAGCAGCCCTGTGTTAGACTAGATGGGATCCCACATGAGCGCCCCTGTGGACAAGGGCTCCTGGGCAGAAAGGAGTATCAACAACAGCGGGCGGGCGGCAGTGCTGGGCGGGCGGCACCGGTGTTGGGAATTGGTGGCTGGCACTGTCCTCCCTGGTCTGCGGGCAGGGAAACAGCTGGGGGCGGTGGCCGGGGGCTGGACCCTCAGAGTGGCTCCTGAAAGTGGGGGTGCTGCTGGGGCTTGGAGGTGGGCCCCCACCCTGGTCTCCGGGGACTGGGTGGCCCTGTCTCTTGGGAGCAGCTTGCGTGCCCGCAGGGTCTGGAGCCCAAGGCAGGGTGCTGTAGGCTGGGGGGGCAGGCCTGGAGGAAGGGCAGTGCTGGTGGAAGTTGGGGGTGGGGTGCCACGGGGCGACGTTCAGGGCTGTCTGGCCAAGGTGGAGAGACGCCCGTCTTAAAGAGCTCCTCGCCCCACAGCGTCACCCAGTGGGAGGTGCGAGGGGGTGGACTGAATGGGGTGAGGGCCACACGGGTCCCACGCGGGTCCACTGCCACTCCTCACGTGCACTCCCTAGAAGTATGGGGGTGGTGGGGAATGAGCTGCCAGAGTCTTGGCCCGCGGGATCAGGGCCTCGATGTCCCAGTGCAGCAGCCGTGGCCCGAGACAGCCAGGCGGGAGCGTCCGGGTTTTACTTTGTCGTCCATCACGTGTTCGTGAGTGAGCACTGACTGCCCAGCGGTGGTGTTTGCCTGCACGGTGGATTCAGTGAGATCTGCATTGGCTGCCAGTATAAAAATTCAGAAGCTCTGGTAAAAAAAATCAGGATTTTCTATTTCATTGGGTAAAGCGGAAGCTCTGGCAGCATTGGCTGCCACTTTGAGGTGCTGTACCCCCCAAGCCCCCCACCCGCCATCCCCGGCGCCCCCCGCCCACCGTCCCTGCCCTCCCCAGTGCCCTCCGTGCCCCCAGCCGTGCAGCAGCCCAAGTGTCTTCCTGTGTCTGAGGGTGACCCTGCCCCCTGGCCCTGCGCCCCCCGTGGCGGAGCTCCTCCGGGGCATGGGGAGCCCAGCTGTGGCATGTCCGTCACGGTGTTACTTGAAAACCTGGAAGGTGGCTGGTAACTAACCGTCCACCCACGACCGTATGAGGAATTTGTTGGTGCGGAGCCGAAGGGACAGGACATGTGGGCACGTGGGCAGGGCCCTGTCAGACAGGACCCCGGGCAAGAGCGTAGGGCAGGGCTGGGGGGCTGCAGGCAGGACCCTCAGGACACCGGGGTTGGGGAGGGTCGTGTGGGGCAGCGTCCGACGGCGCCAGCGTGGTTCTGGAGCGACATCTCCAGAGACAGTGGCACTGACGTGCGTAGCACCACCAGGACAGCACTGGCTGGGAGCACAGGGTGGGCACCAGGTCCTCCTTCTCAGCAGCCCCAGGACCCCTGTCCCAGCCCCGTGAGCACGTGCTTCGGGAGCAGGTGCCGCCTGGGGCCTCCCGCAGGGTCTCGTCATGGGGCTGAGCCGTGCCTGTGCTTCCTTCCAGATTGAGGCCTCTGGTGTCTGCGCAGCCAGCCAAGAAGGCGGCCCTCAGAGAGGTGTGTTGTTGGGGTGGTCGGGGCCGTGGTGTGGGGAAGCAGCTCCCCGACACTGGGCCCGTCCATGTCTGGTGGGCTGAGGAGAGCAGGGCTTGGCACGGGGGGGCCGCCCCTCCTGCCTCCACAGAAGCAGGGCGGGATGCGGGATGCGGCTGGGAGTGCCGAGGGATCCTGAGCCCCCGCCCTCCCTGGGGGCAGCCACCGTGTGTGCCCAGCATTGGAGCACAGTGCAGGCAGCCCGAGCCTAGGGCTCCCTGAGGTGGTCAGAGTGGGCGGCCGTGCCCCGGACGGTGCCTTCAAGGTTGGGGTGTGGGGGCGGCCGGGCCCGACGGCTGTCCCAGAGCGCTCTTCCCTCATTCTAGGCCGTGCTCTCGAGCCCCCCGGCCCCCGGTGCTGAGCCTGTGAGGCCGGCAGCTGTCGTGGTGGAGAGTGGGCCCGTGTCCTACCACCCTGACGAGGATGTGGACGAGGACGATGCCGAGGAGGAGGAGGGCGAACCCTGCGTGAGCGCCCTGCAGATGATGGGCAGCAACGGTGGGTGGGCCGCTGGGCTGGGGGCCGAGGGAGGAGGGCCCCCACCGCCTGCCCTGGTTGTCCCTAAACAGCCTGTCGTCTCACCCTGGAAAGAAATTCTGGAGTGGCCCCCGTGGATGGGGAGGGTGGGATTGAGGGCTCTGGGGAAGGAGGGGGAGTGGGCAGGGAGGACGGGAGGGTGCCCTGGAAGGCGGGGTGGGGGGCCCAGGGCCAGGGGGAAGGGAGGGATGAGGGGAGCGGCGGGTGGCTTCTTCACCTGTGACTGTCCCCCGCGCTCTGCAGATTATGGCTGTGATGCTGACGAGGATGATGGCTACTGACATGGGCCCCCGCTCTGCGGGCGGCTGCACCCAGCAGTGGACGCGGCCTTGGTCCACAGAACACCCAACGGGGCGGCCGTGCCTCCCGGGCAAGGTGGGCAAGAGACTCAGTGAGGAGAGGTGGCGTCCAGCGCTGGCCCTCCCACCCCACGCAGCCTCTGGGGTAGTTTGCTGTTGGGGTCCTGTTCTGAGCAATGTAAGGAGCGTTTCCACCCAGCGGGGAAGCTGGACCAGTGTCTGTGTCTGCTCACTTGTGCCACCAGCGTGCCCGCACACTGGCCTCGTTCCTGCCCTCGGATCACTGACCATCGCCCTCAGGGGCCCCAGCACAGGAGGTCACCACTGTCCCAGTGTGGAGCGGGGATGGCCTGCCCCTCAGCCCTGTGCCCCTCACCCCTCAGCCCCTCACCCCTTCAGCCCTGCCCCCCTCATCCCTCAGCCCCACCCCCCTCAGCCCTGTGCCCCTCAGCTCTCAGCCCCGTGCTCCTCAGCCCCTCGCCCCTCAGCCCCACATGGCACCCAGTGGAGGATGTTCTGTGCACCTCTACCTCCTGTCCAGGTCCCAAGAACCTGGCACTCAGGGTGCCCATCAGGCAAGGCAGAGGGAGTCAGGGTCTCGGGGGTGGGCACTTTGTGGCCAGCCCTTTGTGGCGAGCTCAGTGGGGCCAAGTGGTCCCCCAGATCTGGTGGCCTTGCTGGTCCAGAGCCATGTGGCCCCGTGGGGTGGCTGCAGGGCCTAGGAGGGTGGCTCATGGGCACCCTGTGCCCCTCAGGCTGCAGCCCCCTCGCCAGGCCCCCAGACTCCAAGTGGGCAATGCCCCCGCCACCTGAAAGCCCACTTCCAGCCGTGAGCGCCACAGTGTAGGGCCCAGATGTGTGTCTGCCCCAGGAGCCCCGAGGCTGCCCAGCCTCTAGCTACGCCTGAGCAGAGGGTGGACTGAGTCCAGTCCGGCACTCGCCCTGCAGGCGTGGGTTTTGAGGCGATCAGGAGGTCCGCATGGTGGCCCCACTGCTCTGGAGCACAGCCCCCTGAGGGACGCCCCATGGCAGCCTGTACGACATCTGGGGCGGCCCCAGAGCCAGAGGGGCAGAGAGCACCGGGCGTGTCCTCTCCTATCTGGGATCAGACTCAGCTTCCGTGAAGGGAGGCCAGGCAGGCACCCCAAGCCCGGCGCCTTGCTCTAGATGGTCCCCACCGCAGAGCTGCCCCAGGGGCCCAGGGAGTGGGACAGCACCATGTGGGGCAGCGGTGGCCCTGGTGGGGGGCTGGGCACCCTGCCCGCCAGCCTGGCCCTCAGATGGTAGCTCCTCCCAGGGCACTGGAGACACGGTCGAGGGTGCTGAGCACAGGCTGTGCCCCTCTCACCTGAGCTGGGGTGTGTGGGGGGGCAACGTGTCTGTTTGCCAGGCCGGCTGGCCGTCCAGGCAGAGGTGAAAAGGTGCAGCTATGCGGGTGGGGGGATTGCCTTCCTGAGCTAGAGATGCTTGGTTGTGGGGTGTCGGGAGCAGGGCTGGCTTCACGGTCCTCGGGGCGGCTCTGTCCAGGGCGTCATGGGGGTGAGTGCAGGGAGCAGACCGCACGGGGTGGGACAGTACATGTGCTGTCACAGAGACCTGGGTAGATGCCGGCAGTCAGGAAAGGATGCAGGATGACCTTGTCTTGAAGCACGGGGTCTGAATGGGTGGGAGGGGCGGAGAAGGGGTCACAGCAGGTGTCCAAACCCCAAAGCATCGCCACCGCCCGCGGGCTTCAAGGGCTGTGGGCCCCAGGGCCCACGCAGGTCTTCACCCACCCCACAGGTGGGTTTGGGGCCACATCCGCATGCCCCCACATGGAGGATGACCACAGCCAGCCATGACGTCTGCATCGGCCTGAGTCCCATTGGGACCCGCCTGGAGCGGGTGGGCGAGGACAGGGCACCTCCCCTCTTGGCCCTGCGGTCTGCTCTGAATCGGCCCCTCCCAGGCAGCCAGTCCTGGAGCAGAGGGAGAGCCCCCCAGCCCCTTCAGCCACATCCCCTTGTTACAGCTCTGCTGTCCAGCTGTCCCTGTGTAATGCTGAGTTTCAGGCTGGGCCACCTGCGGTGCATAGCGAGCAGGTTCCTGAGCAGACAGGAGCTCTCTCCCATCCTCTGCCCACGTGGAGCGGAGGCCGACAGGCTGGGATCAGGCCTCGGGGGACATGGGGGGTGAACGCCAGCTGCCTGGAAGAAGGTGGACGTGGAGGCCTACCCCTAGTCTCCGAGGCTGCCATGGCCTGCAGACATCAGCTGTCAACCCCAGGGGGCTTGGTCACTGCCACCGATGTGCTTAGCCATCCTGGGGGCGTCCTAGGGCTCTGCCAGGGCACATACCCACCTTTAGAGGGGACTCCGGGCAGAGGGGGGTCATCCCACCTAGGGGAGGGGCTGGTTCTGGGGGAGTGCTGTCGCTGGGCCTCGGCAGGGCGAAGGGGTTGCTCCGGGCACAGCTGCTGGCCCAGGCGTCGGGTGGGTCGGCACTGCTCCTTGCTGCAGCTGGGCCAGGCCAGTGGATTGGTCCATTGGAGTTGGACCGGGAGGGCCTTTGTGAGCCAGCAGGTCCTCCTTTGAAACCTGAAATCTGACCCTTTATCTCAGGGTGAGCAGGCCCCATCCCTAGGGGTGCCTGCCTAGCCCACCAGCCCTGACCTCACTGCCTGTCCTGGCCAGCACATGGGCCACCACAGTGGCCCCCTGACATGCTGTTAGGCAGGCACAGCCCACAGAGGACTGGGGCCCTGACCCCTCCTACCCTCTACCTGTAGCTTGGGCCGAGGGGGGGTGCCCACTGGCAGGTGGGGTTTGTCCGTAGGTGCAGCGCCTTGCCCAGCTGCTCAGCCTCTCCGCCAACCAGAGCTGCTGCCCTCTCCCCATGGGTAAGGAGAAGATGGGGGGGGGCTCCCACAGTGAGGTTCTCCAGCAGGAGCTAATGCCTGTGTGTGCACCCCCACAGGTACAGTGTAGGGTGTCTCTGTGTGTGCGTGTCCTTGCCTGCGATGTGCTGTGGGGCTTGTCCGTCGCTGGGGGTGAGCTTGGATCTGGATTCTGTGTGGAACGTGGAGGTGGGGGACTCCAGTCCCCCCAGCAGGTCCTGGGCTAGAGCTGCAGAGCCAGGTGGATGTGGCCCTGGCCCGGGTGCCCACAGTGGTGAACCCCCCCCCCCCAGGCTTCCCTCTGAGGATTCCTGAAGGCCTGGGTGCTCACAGTGGAGAACCACCGCCCCCCACAAGAGCTTCCCTCTGAGGATCCCTGAGGGCCCGGGCAGGTCTTGGTGGAGCCTCGGTCCCTGTTCCCCAGATGCCCTGACCTCCATCCAGTGCTCACGTGGGTGGGTGGAGCTGGCTGTGTTGATCCAGGGGACACAGGCCTGGCCACATGTGGAGCCACGCTTCGCTCCAGGCTGCTCTGCTGGAGCCTTCTCAGCCTGTCCCCCTGGAGCCCTGCACTCGCGGGGGGGCCCACAGGGCAGAGTCCACAGGGACAGGCTTGAATGAGGGAGGGCCCCTCAGCATCTGACTCAGGCGGCCACTCCCGAGAGCCATTCCCACTGGCCGTCATTGGCAGTCACTCCCATCCCCACTCCACTGCCCCCCAAGTCACCAGTGGCCTCGAGGGTCCCCCAACTTGGTCCACCTCGGACTGGCTGCCTGCCACCCTGCCCATTCAGCAGCTCCATGGGCACCGGCCCTGCCATGCTCGGGGCCTGGCCTGTGCTTGTACCTCCTCCAGTGCTGGCTCCCCCCTGGTTCGGCTCCCCACCCCTGCCCCCCTCGTGCCACCCACAGCGGGCTCCAGATAGGACCACCCGAGGGCAGGGTGCCCTTCTTTGGAGGAGAGTCAGATGCTGGACAGCCCTGACGACAAAGGTCTATTAAGGTCCTGTCTGGACTTAGTCCTCCCCGCCCCCACAGGCACCTCGGGTTTTCCAGCCCCAACCTGAGCTACGCCAAGCCCCCCTGGGGCCTCCTAGGGGGCAGCACCACCCTGCACTGGCAAGGTCAGAAACACGTGGCCCCCCTCTTGCTCTTGCCCCATGCTGTTAAGAGTCCACTTTTCTTCCCACCACGTAGTTGTCTGTGGGGCAGCAACGCCTCTCCCGCCCGCTTACCTCTCCATGCACATGCGGGGCGGAGGGGGTGCGGGGGCTGCCCTGCAGAGTTGTGCGTGCGTGCTGGGAGCTGAGCTCGGGTCCACTCGGCACGGCTGATGATCGTCGGAGGACTCAGACTCAGACTCTGCAGGACCTGCTAACGGGGAGGGAGGTGCATTGGCTCCTTCAGGCCCTGTGGGCCATCTCGACCACCGACGCGCGGGGGCCCGGCCCCACGCCTGCCCCTCGGGCTGCCGCAACAGAGGACAGGCTGCGTGCGGCACTACCGGGAAAAGGGCAGGTGGGCGCACACCGTCGCCTCCCCCGCCCCACCTCGTCGCTGCCCTCTAAGGGCGCACGTGCCCCGCAACAGGTCCCCGGTTGTCCGCGCCTGCATGGGGGACAGGGCTGCGACGGGGGCGCAGGGCGGGAACCGGGCCCCCAGGCACAGCCTGGGTCCGACCAGGCCCCACAGCGACCGCAGCCCTAACACCTCATGGGACCCCTATGTTCCCTAATAGTGACGATGCGGACTGCACGGAACCGCAGGACTCGCGCCGGCCTTCGTCCGGGTCCCCGACAGGCCCACTCGCTTTTTATCGCAAATTCTTGCCAGATCGTCTTGAGGGCGCGTGCCAGGGCAGCCCTGCCCGCGCGGACCCTCGACTTCTGCGGCGCCAACCTGGCTGAAACGGGAGGGGCCGGGGCGCGAATCGGCTCCCGCCCAGCACAAGCCTCACCGCTGCCCCCACCCTTAGGGGTCTAAGGACCCCCTCACCCCACAGGACGGTAGAGACCGGCACGACGGGCCCCCATCGCCGCGGGATGAACGGAAGGAATCCCCGGGCCGCCGTCGGCCCCGGATCCGAGCCCCCTGCCCCACCTGCGCTGCCCGGATGGCCGGTGCCCCGCAGGGTTTAAGAAACCCCCCGCCGCCTGGCACCCCTGGACCCGCATCTGCCGGGCCCTACCCCAGCCCCTCACCCCGCCCAGACTTTTGTCCTGCCCGACTCCGCCCAGCATCGTCC